GATATGTATATGGAGAGAGATTTAAAAGATTGCTTAAAAGAACTTTTAAAAATTAAACAAAGAAATAAAGATCAAGTGGTACAAGAAAGTTCTACATTCAAGAGAGCTCTATTCAACTATATATGCATTTCAAGATTATATAATAAAAGTTGAAATTAGATATAAAACTATGGAGAAAAAAATAACACCTATAGCTATATCATTGACTAATGACTCCAACCTCGAAGTCCAACAAGCTTCAAAGATGAAGAGTTTAAGAAATCTTAAATGAATTAATCATAGATTTATTAAAAATATACTTATAGAATTAAAAATGGGGTCTATAGATTTTCTACCCATTGAAATATAACAATTAAGAAACATGTTAAGTAGACATAGAAAGACTTTTGGTTTTAAATCCTTAAAAATTAAATATGTGGACCAGAGTGTTGTAGTACCAATGATTGTATTTATAGTTCCACACACTCAACGGAATATAAAACCAATTATAGTACCTCGAGCACATTAATCCAAATTCCTCAAGCTTTTGAAAGAAAAGATGCAAATCAAGACTTTAGAACTATTTGTACTATATTCTAGCTGTTAGTGCACAGTACAACATAAAAATCAAACACTATGATTTATTTAGGATATGCAATGAGTAAATCAAATGACCATTAGAAATACAAGGATTAAATCATATTGTTAAAGACTTTATTATGACATATATAAGTAGAGCCTTTTACTATGTGTAAGATCTTTATTTTGAATTGATAATTTGAGATATAAATATTTTTTGTTATTTTTTTAATATACATTAAATAAAATGTATTAATATTATGTTGTAATATGACTATTAGAGAAAAGTGAAAAGAAAAGATTATATTAAAAAAAGGATAATTAAAAATATTTTAAAAATTACCTTAGAAATTTAGATAATAGTCAAGGAAGTAGTAAAATTAATATGTATTAATATTTCTTTTTTATAAAATAAGTCTCCAATTACTTTATAGAGCCATGAATAAGATAAAATAAAATAGTAAACCAAAATTATTAATATAAATATCTTAAGATATATATAAATAATACTTTTTTACAAAAATAACCTATAAAAATTAAATATTGATTCTTAAGAAGGACCAGTTATGAACTTGATATGAAATCAAATCCTCAGACATAAAACTATATCTTTATGAGAAATCAAGAGTTCTTTGGTTAAATAAAAAATAGAATTTGAAAGAAAACTAAAGAAAGATCTTTAAGACATAGATTTTGAATGATTTTGTATTATAATAACTTTGTATAAGCTTTACAAAATCCAGATTGTTTTATAGTGGCTTTGTTTTTTGAGATATAAAAAGAGTTTATACTTTGAAAAATATTTATGAAATTTTTAGTGAATCTATAAGTGAAATTTTGTAATGTTTTAAATGTAATTATATCAAATGTATATTATAAATTTGAGATTAATGAAAAATTTAATATAAAGTTATTGATACTCAAGTGCATAAAGGTCTTTGGCATTGGAGTTAAGAGCATTTGGAAGAATTTCTAAAATTTATAACAATCTATTTATTAGACTAAATTCAAATATAGTAATCTAATAGTAGACTTAATGTCATCAACATACATATTTATTCCAAAAACTACCTATATAATTAAAAAAAATAAAATAAAAATATAATGATTTTAAATTATATTTTAAAAAAGATTCTAAGAATCATCATTGATGTTGCTTTAACTTAACACGTGTTTCTAACAAACAGATAGGCTGAAAACTTCATTAACAAATTAGCCATGAGTCCCACATTGTTGGATGGTATGATTTGCAATTGGGAAATTCATGAGGTATCTAGCTGTAGAGAATTTAGCTTTAACTTATTGACTAAGCTCTAATAAGTGATTTATTTTACTTTTAACCTACATACAAAGTCTTGGCTTCCAAATCCTCTTCACTTTATATAAAATACCCAAATTGTAGAAAAATCCATCAAAACATATTTTTTCCACAAAAGTTTTTTTCTTTCCAAATTTTAGAAAATCATATCTTTTGATCCAATATTTTATTTTCTTTCAAATTTGTCTGTAACGTAGCTCTTACTCTTAAGCTTTACTACGAAAAAAATGAATCAAAAAATTGCTCTTGATCTTTTGGCAACTTAGAAATCCTAGTAGGTGCTCTAAACCCTAATTTATAAGCACTTGAATACTATTTTCTTTATACCTCAAAACTCCAAAATTAAAATGCCACAAAATTTGTGGAAAAAGGTTATTAACATGACTATACACATTATTGGAAATTTTGAGCCCAAATCTTATCAAATTACTCAAGATATAGCTCAAAATACAATGACTAGTGAATTGGATCACTTACTACACTTAGATTTGTAAGTACTAATTTCAACCTCTAATATATGCTTTATCCTAATTTGGAATCCATCAAACAATATACCAAAAGTATAGCCGAGAAAGTGGTCTCTCCAATCCTAGTCGCTGATCCTTTATTGCTTTTTGTACGTGCATGTTATATCCAAAAGAGTGATAGTAGGCCCAAAATCAACATCTTAACTTTGAGCGCCCATATCTCTTTCATATAAACTCCAAATCACAAAAAATTTCCACCTAAACTATAGCCAAAAACCTAAGCTTTCTGACCTTAGCCTTTGAAGTTCAAATGGCCCCGAAAGTATAATCCTAATCCCTAATAAGGCCTTGGGGCAGCCTCCTTAAAGCCCATTGGACATGATTTTTGACCAATAAGAATGGAGATTTTCATCATCCATCTCCATTCATCCATATGGATGTCCTAATTGCACTTTTTGGTTCCAAGATCCCTCTCTAATCTTTTTTCTAATAAGATTTACATAATATATGTCCTAATTACCAAATAAAAGAACCAAAATAAAACTTCAAAGGTCACCAATGACTAATAAGGGTGACTCTAAATGTTTAAAAGTTACTACTAATAAGATCAACTTCAAAAGTCACTATCAAAAGAAAATAAAGTTATATAAATTCTAATAATAGTTCTTTTAAACAATCTCTTTTTAGGGTAGTAATCTAACTCCATTCTACAACCAACTAAAATTCATTAACATGGCTTTTATCATATTACTTAGTAAATCATATATCAAACAAATAAACACAATATTTTTCACATGGTAGCCAAACCACAATATGACATCCACTCCCTCCAAACTTGTACATTCTTTGGTATGCACCAAGAATGAAAAAGTTGTGGTGGGCATCATACTACCTCCTCAACATTGTCTCTTTCATGATCTATATCTTCTTCTTTGTTTGTAAAGAAATCAATGTCTTCTTTAGTACCTTCACCTATTATATCTTGATTTCGTTGCTGAAAAAGTTTTATACATTTTTTTGCAATTGAAATCTTAAGGTGCGTCCCATCTAGCTCCCTTAATATATATGTAGCATTATCTAGAATATTTACAACTACATAAGATCTAAACCAATGCTTTGAAAATTTTCACAAAGAATTGTGTTGGTTATTCAAACTGCTATCATAAACAAGTACCCAATCATCTTCATGAATTATAAATAATTTTAAAATTTTGACATTATTGCCAAATGTATTAGGGAACCTTACATCTTTGACTATCTTTTTAGTTGATTTAAATTGACTCTATTACTATCTTTAAAATACTATTAAAAAAATAAAATAAAATAAAATAAAAAAAAACTTGAAATGACATTATCATCTCAAAAATAAAATGAATTTTTGAAAATTTTATTTAATTCTTTTTTTTAAAAAAATAGAATCTTTCTTTCAATACTTTGATAAATTTGATTATTATCTTTATAGAAGGTCAATCAAAAACCATATTTACAATGTTCTTTCTTTTGACATGTCTTGTGGACACTCATCACTACAAAAATAAAACTTATGTCCAAAAACATATTCTTTCCTTCAACTTTAAAGTTGTTAAAGCTTACTCTTAATATCTTCCAAATCTTTTAGTTAATATTATTTTTGTCTCCATCCAAATCTCTTTGTTTTTTCAACTTTTGTAAAGCTTGCTCCTAATAGCTCAATTTCTTGTTATTTGTTAAAAATGCTCTTATAACTTTTAGACTTAATGATAGGCCATTATAAGCTTTAAAACTTTGTTTTGCCAATCTCAATAAATTCATTAGGCAAATTTTCTTGGCCACAAGAATGAGTAATGAATAACTTCATACTTATTTATTTATTTATTTATTAAGTTTTTTTAATATTTATATTCTAATTTTTATGTGCTAAAAAAATATTGATAGTAAGAAAACTTATATACAATTCTTAATCTACAATTTATTAATTAAACCTTTTATTTTTATAAGAAATACTTAAATAATATTATAATAATTATGAAGTTGGATTTTTATGCTAGTAATACTTTGATGTTAGTTTTTATGTTTTTCTTCAAGTTATTATAATAAAATTATAACTCATCTAAAAACTTGATGATCTTAGCTACAATATTTTTTTAATCTACTTTTTAATAATTTTTTTAAAGACTATTTCTAGACGATGTATAATCTTCAACAATCTAAGTAAGCTTCTAATTATTCCTTGTCAACCTTAGAAATATCCTAAAAAAATCTATATTTCAATATGCTCACATGAAATAACTTGCATCATCGATGAAATGCTCAGATTAAATCGTACAATGCATGAGAGGGGTATGTAGTAAATTGAACATGTTCATAACTTTCAACGTGGCAGAACACATTCGGCAGAGCTGTCTTACCAACATGACAACCAAGTGTAGCACGACCCTCCATTGCCAAATTATGCGAAACAGCTTCGACTTCTTGGAAAGGTTTGTTTTTACATTCCCCACCCAGTGTTCTATTGTTTTACTGCTCAATCACTATGTTCAGTGGGGTTGTATTACCCGTTTCCTCTAGAACAATACAAGTTTTTAGTCATGTATCTGATTGAGTAGACAACCGTTTCTGTCCAACACCAACACTTGAAACATCCTCCACAAGTGCACACCGTATTCAGTACACACAGATACTAACAGCCAATAACATTGGTTTACTGAAAAGGACCAACGAAGCATTACACAACGAGGACCCCCTGAAACATCACACCCGTTTCTCAATAATTTCTCATCTTTCCCGTGCTACATACACCGACTACTGTTACATGACACCAATGTTCGCAAACGCACAACCGAGACCTGGTATCAAGGGCTAGATCCCACTCTAACCCTATCCAATGAATTGTCAACTAATGCGAGCCTGCTATTTTCACGTTGCCCAACAAAATTACACACCGCCACCATCCTGCGACCTCGCGGTTTCTCGTCCCCGCTATTCCAAACGACTTCATATTCACAGGCCTTCCTCTACTTGTCAATGCCCTCGATCCTGTCTTCCACGTCCTGGTATAACTGCCTCAACTTCTCCAGATTGTCCTCAGAAGTCTCCCAGTAGCCGCGCCCATTCGCTTCCAAAAACGTCGACACCAGCTTCCTGAACGAGTTGGGGTTCGTCTCCAACAACCTCTTCTGCATCTCCTCGTCGTTAATGAAGGTGTTGTTCGCTTCCTCGTACACCCAGTTGTCCACCTGCCAAACCCAACGGCAATGGAAAAGCTCAGAACAGAACCAAAACACCCATGAGAAACCAGCCTGCTTCCCTCCGCCAATTCCTCTCCCCACGACGAACCGAGTAACCGCCACTACCAACTACTCACCGTGCCAGAAGTTGCACTCCAACCCATCGTGTTTGTCAGCCTCTTCTCGATCTCACGAACACCCTCGTAACCGCTCGACAGCATCCCCTCGTACCACTTCGGGTTCAGCATCTTCGTCCGGGCATCCAGCCTCACCGTTTCCGCCAAAGACCGCACCTGCGCGTTTGCAGTCGTCGTATCCGCAATGTACGAAGCTGGTGCCTTCTTGTCCGGCCTCAAACTCTGTACGAGCTTCGTCGGGTCCGAGTCGAAGTAGTGGCTCACATCCGTCAACGAAATCTCCGAAGAGTCCAGGTTCTGGAACGTCGCGTCTGCTGTTGCTAGAGCAGACTCGAAGATCTGCCTCTTCTCGCTCATTCCAGCACCGGGAGCATCGCTGTCAAAAGCAAACGACTTCCGTGACAAATACATGTCCTGCAGTTGCTTTTCATCGTTCCACGATGAGTTCTCCACCGCCAGGTTGACGTTCGAGGAGTACGACCCTGAGGCGTTCGAGTAGATTCGAGTCGCAGCCTCCCGCAACGACACCCCTAGGGTCTCCACCTGCTCCAACGCGTGCTTGCGCACAAAGTTCATTTCCACAGGCTCATCCAGCTCTGCCACAGTCTTCACTGCTCTGTCCAGCAAGTTCATCTGAAAATAAACACCACCATCGCGCACGCATTCATTAGCTCATTCAACGCGGAAGTACCATGCCCCAGTACGTATCCATGACCCCAGCCAAATACCATCACTCTTTCCAGTTGGTGTACGATGCACGACAAAGTGAGAAAAGTTAACGCCAGACATCCACAAAACCCACCTGGTTGATGAACAGGTCCCTGAACACGCCCGAGCAGTTCACCACCACGTCAATGCGAGGTCGTCCAAGCTCCTCCAGAGACACTGGCTCGATCTTGTTCACACGCCCCAACGAATCGGGCACTGGCCGAACACCCACCATCCACAACACCTGGGCAAGAGACTCCCCATACGTCTTGATGTTGTCCGTACCCCACAACACCAATGCGATCGTCTCCGGATACTTGCCACCATTCTCTATCTTCTGACGCTCCAGCAGACGATCTACGACGATCTTCGCGCTCGCTAAAGCCGCAGCCGTCGGAATGGCCTGGGGGTCCAAAGCGTGGATGTTCTTCCCCGTTGGCAGTACGTTCGGGTTCCTGATCGGGTCTCCTCCTGGGCCAGGCTCCACGAATCTCCCTTCCAACGCTTCCTTCAAACCGCCTAGCTCATTGTCCGCTACCACCTGCTTCAAGCAGAATGCCAAAAACTCGAACAGAGTGGTCATCTTCGCCTGATCCACGTTCCTGAATTTCGTGTTCTGCAGAGCATCCATCCATGGATCCTTCTTTGCGAAACCAAAGAGGTTGGCCAGACCATTCTGCACGTTAACCACCTGACCGGCTTTGTTCGTCGTCTTCGCCACGAACGCACCCACCACTTCACGGCTCGTCTGTGTGATCTCGTTCAGCAGAGTCACGTCGGCAAGCACACCCCGATCACTACTCCTGTAGACGTCCTCAATCTCACGCCCCACGGCCTGAGCCAACAGCCCTGGCAACCCAGCGATGTCCTCCTCCGGTCTGTCGATGGCAGCAATGTTCACAAGCGTTGCCACCGCCTCCTCGGCACTCGGAGGCTCTCCGATCACGTGCAGCCCGCAAGGCAGCAGCCTCGACTCGATCTCCATGAGCTTTCCGTACACCCTACCTACCACGGTGTCCCTCTCGTCGGCTGACAGCTCCGCCTCCTCGCCAGGCAGTTCCACGTCCTTGTCCAGGTTACACTGCCTCGCAGTGCTGATAATACTCGACACGATCTGCGCACCACGCCCAGAGTCCTTCAATGACTGGTAAGATGAGATCAGCTCGCTCAGCTGCTTCAGTCCCTTGTACAGACCAGCATTCTCGGCAGGGGGTGTCAGGTAGCTGATGGTGTTGGCATAGCTACGCCTCTTCGCAATCGTAGCTTCTGACGGGTTGTTCGCAGCATAATAGTAGATGTTGGGGATGTTCCCGATCAAGCTGTCGGGGTAACAGATGTCGCTCATGCCCACCTGCGCCATAAAAACCAAGCAGATCTTAACAACGCCAAACCCTTGTGCCTAGTACATGCGATGCCCATTCCTTCACGCAACATAACTTTACTCCAAGCACTCGTATCTACTCCACGAGGTTCCAAACACACCACCCTAATCATGCCCGTAACCCCCAGTAACATCATCTTCACGAACAAGTGGGATACTATGCCAACCTGCTTTCCGGGCATAAACTCCAGTGATCCGTGAGTTCCAAAGTGCAGAACAGCATCCGCCTTGAAGATCTTCTCCAAAAATGTGTAGTACGCGGCAAACCCGTGGTGAGGGCTCGCCGACTTCGAAAACAGAAGACGCATCGGATCTCCCTCATATCCGAACGTAGGCTGGACACCGATGAACACGTTCCCAAACTGCTTTCCATACACCAGCAGGTTTTGCCCGTCTGAGTTCAGAGTCCCCGGGGCCTTGCCCCAGCTCTCCTCCAGTGCCTTCGCATAAGGAGTCAGCTGATAGTACTCCCGTGTCGGCATCTTGTACGCGATATTCAGGTCGGGGCTGCTGAACCGAGCTTCCTTGTCGTGAATCACCTCCTCTATGAGTGCCTCCGATGACTCGGGGAGCCCCTCCACGTTGTACCCGTCAGCCTTCAACTCCTTCAACACACTATAAATGGACGAGAACACGTTCAGATACGCGGCGGTCCCGACATTTCCCTTGTCAGGGGGGAAGCTGAACACCGTGATCGCCAACTTCTTCTCCGCCTTCGCCAGCCGCTTCAGGTTAGCCCACTTGATGGCCCGAGTGCACAGCTGGTCCACGCGGTCGTGGAGCGCATGGGACTTGCCTGCAACCATCAACCACGCTCCCCCGTCAATGCTCCTGTCTCAACCACCCACATTTGACCAAGCCACTACACTCTCGCACTCAAAGACTTGCACCACACACCTCTCCCCTATAGCAGAGTGTCCCCCCACGTGAAATTGCGCTAACTCAGAATCACCCCTGCAAAAAATCTCTACGCAGAAGCCGTACCTGTGCGACTATCACGCCCGGAGAACACGATTGGCTCCAAACCTCCGTCCAACTCAGGTAGGGCAACTTGGAGGGCAACCTGAATAGGGTGCAGTCCCAAAGTGCTGCCCAGCCATTCCTCGGTCGTCTGGAATACCAAAGGAAGTGCGACCAAATACGGCACATCCAGCTTTTTCAAAGCTTCAATGGCCTTAGGATGATCCTGGCTTGCGGGTCCACCCACGAGAGCAAATCCAGTCAGAGAAACCACCGACTGAACCAATGACTTCTTCGTGATCGGGTCGTAGAAGAATCGCTCCACGGGTCCAGAGAAGTCCAGGCCACCTAACGTTCATCAAAGCAGCCACACAAGATTCAGCAGCGCACACATGTCATCTTCTTCCATGCCACACACTTACCTCTACCGTCTATATCATGTCCTCAGCTCTACCATCGTGCCAGCAGTTCCCGCGTCAGGCAATTAAGCATGCAAATTCCACCACATTACAGTACGTGTCTGCTGTTGCAGAGCCAACCACATCAGAACGTTTCCTAAGATCGTAGTATTGCCCCTGGGCTTGTATCGTCAGAGAAATTCACCTGCAAAAATTGGCACCACCTTCGCACCCCGCGCCTCCATCTCCATGACCACGGCGTCATAGTGACCGTGATCACCAGTCACGATGTGGCTTCGCTGCAACACAATCCCCACCACCGGCGCCTTCGGGTCCTTCAGGGCCTCGTTGGCATCGCGTCGGGTTCCATACCAATTCAAATACTCCTTAATGTCGTCGTACATCTGAGGGGCCATCGGGTGCCAGATGCCCGTGTCCAGGGACACCACAGGGTCGTCATACTCCAACTTCTGGCCCGTCAATGCCGGGACGTACGCGTTCGATATCATCACCAAAAAGTTCTCCAGGTTCTCGGGAGAGCCTCCCAGCCAGAACTGCAAACTCATCATGAAGTTCCGCGCATCTTGAGCCTTGTCGCTCGGCAGGTACTTCAACACCTTCGGCAGCGTGCGGATGAGTTTCAACATGCCCTCCTCGAAGTTCCCTACATTCTCCTTCCTCTTCCTCCTCATGAACTGGGCAATCGCACTCTTCGATTGCCCCAGCTGAGACATGGAGAATGTGCCCAATTTGTTCAACCTCATCACCTCTGGCATGGACGGGAATATCACCACCGCGTCCATCCTGTCCCTGTTGGCTTCCACTACCTCCTTCACCTTCTGGGCCAACTCCTCCACAAATATCAATGATCCAATGAAGACGTTCGCTTCGCCAACATCCTTCTTGAACGTCTCGAAGTTCTCTGCGTCACGCAGCTCCTCAACAAGATACCCCACAACCTCGATCTGCACCTCCTTGCGGGTCCTGTTGATATTCCTCACGGCGGCTGAAAGGGAGGATTGGTACTGCGCTTCCAGCACCACATACACCACCTTCACCACCGGCACTCCCGGCCTGGACGCAGGGACAATGCGTCTCACCTCTGGCCTCGTCTGGGTGAACATGCCGCCACCTCCCATCATTGCCTTGGGAGCCACACGCAGCGATGCCTGGCGTTCGGCCGCCCTCGGGGCCGGCACAGCCACTGGAGAGCCATACAGCTCGGACTGCGAGGTAACGGCGGTGAATTAGGCCAATGCACAATGTCCCCCGGTTCATGCGAATTTCGCCAGCATGCTTTCGTACAACTCAGTACATACTATGACAACCTTAGACACAATCCCTCGCAACCTCTATGCGGGTCATTACGCCCGAAGGCTTGCGAACCGGAGCCTGTACCCCTAAACCCACATCTCTCGCACAGGGACAATAGAATTGCGGGAGTCCCAAAACGATAACGCACCTTGCCGAGCTTGCTCACATCGCCCACTTGCTTAATTCCCTCGAAAGTCGATAGCAGACCACCCAAGCCGGCTGCCATTCAACAGAATTACGCTCCATCATTGCTCCGCAACACCACATTCAATTCATCCACCACGCTATCCCCTAAAGCACGTCCACTCACTCCATTGCCCGCAAAATGCACAAATTGTGGCAGAAAGAAAAGAGATAAGGTAGGTACCTCGGCATTGGGCGCGCGCACCCTGGGGGACGACAGGCCGGTTCAGAGGAGTCACGCCGCAGGACGACGATGCCACGGTCGCCGAGAATGGTGACAAGGCCGCCATCTCCACTAACTCCCACAACTCCTACCTCCCACCGATCGCTCAGAATTCAATGCCCTAATGAACAACCTGGGCGGTGTCGACTAAAACCTACAGCTCTAGCAAACCCAGCAAGAGTCAAGGTCCAATGCGGTCCAATGCGGCCCAATGCCAAGCCAAGCAGGCGGGCAGGCAGGCAGGATAGACGAGAAGAGAGAGAGGGGGAGTAATCCTAGAAGGGTGTTAGCCACACCTCCACTTGAAGGGGGGTAGGGGAAGAGCAGAACCTAGCAAATTAACTCCGAGGGGGAATAGGCCAGAGCGAATATAATGAGGCGAATTGGATTGAGGTTTGTGGCAACGGAGAGATGCACGGCAGACGGTGTCAGCACACGCCCAAGGCGCACAAGATTGATGCGTCTCCAGGCGCGGGATTTTTTACTACTGGCGTAGGTCAGTCCAGCGGAAAGGATGCAGCGAAATCGAATGGATTGGACTTCGCCCGTTCTCATTGGCTGCGTGCGGTCACGGGATCTCCCGCGCCTTCCGGATTTGTATGCGTCGCTCTCCAACGCACGGTCTTCCGTCCCTTCGCACCGCCCCCGCAGCCTCACGATCGCGCGCCTCCTCTCATTCTCCGTGCACTTTGCTTCACGCCTTGCAATTTAAGTCTACTCGCTTTGCGATTTAAGTCTACTCGCTTTGCTCTTCTTCCTGGTTAGAGTTGCGGGTTTCCTCCTCGGTATCTCCTTCCCTGCGTGACCGTGGTGCCCTCTTGACGGTAACTGACGGATGGACGGACGGACGGGCTCCGCTGTTGCCCCTGTTGCTTTTGGTGCTGGAGTTGTCCACGACACACCACTCTGGTTGCGTTGTTGTCCGTCTGTGAGAGCTCCTATGCGATCGAACGAACGAACGAGGGAACGCGAATGAGAACGAGCGAAGGATGGCCGGGTGTGGACGGAGCTGTTGGCCAATTGTTTGGTTAAGGATCAATCAGTCAGTTTCTGACTGACCCTTGTTTGCGCTCTCAAGCCTCTCTCCTCCTCTCCTCCTCTCCTGTCTCCTCCTTTCTTGTCCCCTCCTCTCCTCCTCTCCTTCTCTGCTCCTGGAGAATTAATCTCAACTTACGGAAGATACCTCATCTCAAAACAACAAGGGCTTCTGGGGGAACATTCATCTCTTTGCTCCTGGAAAAATACCCCAATTTTCACCCCTGAAAGCCCAACGCAGTCAAGAATTCCCAACTCATCACCGTTCGTGCTTTGGGACACTATATCTCTCTGGAATATCTAATGGTTCAATGTTCTCTCTATATCATCACCACAAGTTGTTTAGAAGAGCCAAGGAGGGTTCCTCATGTCATGTGCTTTTTCAGGATAATGCAATTTCTGGAGAATTTGGTGCGTGTTTGTGCATGTGTTTTGCATACTCATCATTCTTTCGCATGTTCACGACTCTCTCTCTCTTGTTTGTTTCCTAGTGCTGTCCCTTTCTTGGTGGGAGTAAAGCTGAAATGATCTCTTGCTGTTTTGTCTGAGCTAAGGTTTAACCTCTTCCAGTAGTTTTCGCTACAGGTGAAACTCGCTTAGAAATTTGTTTAAGCTGTTGGTGATTGAAGTTCAGAACTTTTCTCGAAGAATTTGAACGTATCAAGCTACTGCTTGGTGCACACTGATTTGCATTTATGTTTTGTGTTGAATTTGTTTGTTGGGTTTAATAAAATGAATAGCAGAAATTGTGATACATTGAATCATTGCAAAATTATGTTGCGACTTTTTATAAATTTAAAACAATACTAAAATGGTATGATGATTCTTGATTATGTGTACAAATACATAAATAAATGATATTCTTGCGGTTTAATATACCTTGACTGTTACAAAGTGATACTTTTGTAGCAATGATCTATCAATCCATTTGGTGGAACTAATATAGTATTTCCAGTTCACAAAGATACCAGATTTTGAGGATATCCTGATTTTGAGGAGTCTTTACAAGGAAGCGATTGTATTTCAAATACATATATTTTAAAATTTTAAATGATTTGATTTTGGGTATTAGTTTCTCCAGAAACATAATCAAGATCAAGGATTTTGTGAGCCATCAACTCTAAGGAGAACAGTTGTTTGGACAATGGATATAGGCCCCTATGTCATTTTTAAATCATGCAAACTAACAAATCAATTCCACTGACTTGTTGATTGGTAGAAATAGATGAAAGTTTTGAGTACATGAGAAACATTAAATATCTTATATATATATAAAAATGTAATAATAATTAAACAAAGGATACCCAATTGATGGAGATGTCACATAAGTTATTTATATAATTAAACCAAAAGTAGCATGTGGTTTTCTCCATGTGTGTTTTCACCTATATTAAAAAAGTAGCACATATTGCAACTATGTGAGGTGAATGTTATGGTCTTACACAGATCAGAATAAATTGGAGAAACTTTAACAACAGCATCCAAAAGAACTGTCTGCTTTGAACTGAAAAAGAGGATCAGCAGATTATATCAAGTCCATATTTTATGCTGGAGACATGAATCTGGGCCTACAATATCTGAAGAGTGTCTTTGCAGCCAATCTCCTTCCCATTCTCCACATTCTGCTGATTGTGTTTCAACCTTTTGAGTTTGGATGTTGTTTCTATTGGTGGTCAACAAACATCCCCCTCTCCCAGATACGAAAAAAAAAAGAAAAAACAAAACAAAACAAAAATAAAAGCATTCGAAAGTGGCTGTACATCAGGCACCTAAAGCAGAGAATAATATCTGCTGGTGGTAAAACTTTCCAGCCCTAATTCCCAAACCTCACCTCACGATGTAAGTTTCGCTCGGTAAATTTTTCCAAAACGCTAGTTTTTGTGGATGAAAGTGGATTTGTCGCTTGGAATAAAGCAAAAGGATGAAGGGTGGGGAGAAGGTTCCGTGCAATGAGTTTGTGAAGGACACGTAATGAACCTACGTGGCAGGCTAACCTTCTTCCCTTTTTTCCCTGGTGATCCCGAAAGAATTGTCCCTGTAGTGACGTGGCTTTCAACTGGCACAACAGCAAGCCCCTCATTCGTGGGCGTCTCCATCCATCACTTATCATCTTTCATATTGGTCCACTTCTCATTCCACTTTCGTCGCACATGAAAAATATCAGTTGATGTGTTTGTTGTGTATTCACGAATGGGATAAGTACACGTTTTGTTCGTGGTGTAAAGGTTAAGTTGAGTTTTGGAAGAGCATGTGCTTGTGTTTTTCTTCACACAAGTTCATTTGAGTTTTAAATGTTTTTATATTTTATTATTTTAATGTACATTTAAATGAATGTATCAATGTTATGTCGTAATATGACTATTAGAGAAAAGTGAAAAGAAAATATTATATTAGAAAAAAGCATAATTGAAAATATTTAAAAAATTACCTTAGAAATTTAGATAATAGTCAAGGAGGTAGTAAAATTAATATGTATTAATATTTCCTTTTTACAAAATGAGTCTCCAATTACTTTATAGAGCCATGAATAAGATAAAATAAAATAGTAAATCAAAATTATTAATATAAATATCTTAAGGTATATATAAATAATACTTTTTTACAAAAATAACCTATAAAAATTAAATATTGATTCTTAAGAAGGACTAGTTATGAACTTGTCCTGAAATCAAATCCTAAGACATAAAACTATATCTTTATGAGAAATCAAGAGTTCTTTGGTTAAATAAAAAATAGAATTTGAAAGAAAACTAAAGAAAGATCTTTAAGACATAGATTTTGAATGATTTTGTATTATAATAACTTTGTAAAAGCTTTACAAAATCCAGATTGTTTTAAAGTGGCTTTGTTTTTTGAGATATAAAAAGAGTTTATACTTTGAAAAACATTTATGAAATTTTTAGTGGATCTATAAGTGAAATTTTGTAATATTTTAAATGTAATTATATCAAATATATATTATAAATTTGAGATTAATGAAAAATTTAATATAAAGTTATTGATACTCAAGTGCATAAAGGTCTTCGGCATTGGAGTTTAGAGGATTGGAAAGAATTTCTAAGATTTGTAACAATCTATGTATTGGACTAAATTCAAATATAGCAATCTAATAGTAGACTTAATATCATCAACATACATATTTATTCCAAAAACTACCTATATAATTAAATAAAAATAAATAAAATATAATAATTTTAAATTATATTCTAAAAAAGATTCTAAGAATTATCATTGATGTCGCTTTAACTTTATACGTGTTTCTAGAAAATGGATAGGCTAGAAACTTCATTATCAAATTAGCCATGTATCACACATTGTTAGATGGTGTGATTTGCAATTTGAAAATTCACGAGGTATCTAGCTGTAGAGAATTTAGCTTTAACTTATTGACTAAGCTCTAATAAGTGATTTATTTTACTTTTAACCTATATACAAAGTCTTGGCTTCCAAATCTTCTTCACTTTATATAAAATGCCCAAATTGTAGAAAAATTCATCAAAACATATTTTTTCCGCAAAAGTTTTTTTCTTTCCAAATTTTAGAAAATCATATCTTTTGATCCAATATTTTATTTTCTTTCAAATTTGTCTGTAATGTAGCTCTTACTCTTAAGATTTACTACAAAAAAATGAACCAAAAAATTGCTCTTGATCTTTTGGCAACTTAGAAATCCTAGCAGGTGCTCTAAACCCTAATTTATAAGCACTTGAATACTATTTTCTTTATACCTCAAAACTCCAAAATTAAAATGCCACAAAATTTGTGGAAAAAAGGTTATTAACATGACTATACACATTATTGGAAATTTTGAGCCCAAATCTTATCAAATTACTCAAGATATAGCTCAAAATACAATGACTAGTGAATTGGACCACTTACTACACTTAGATTTGTAAGTACTAATTTCAACCTCTAATATATGCTTTATCCTAACTTGGAATCCATCAAACAATATACCAAAAGTATAGCCGAGAAAGTGGTCTCTCCAATCCTAGTCGCTGATCCTTTATTGCTTTTTGTACGTGCATGTTATATCCAAAAGAGTGATAGTAGGCCCAAAATCAACATCTTAACTTTGAGCGCCCATATCTCTTTCATATAAACTCCAAATCACAAAAAATTTCCACCTAAACTATAGCCAAAAACCTAAGCTTTCTGACCTTAGCCTTTGAAGTTCAAATGGCCCCGAAAGTATAATCCTAATCCCTAATAAGGCCTTGGGACAGCCTCCTTAAAGCCCATTGGACATGATTTTTGGCCAATAAGAATGGAGATTTTCATCATCCATCTCCATTCATCCATATGGATGTCCTAATTGCACTTTTTGGTTCCAAGATCCCTCTCTAATCTTTTTTCTAATAAGATTTACATAATATATGTCCTAAATATCAAATAAAAGAACCAAAATAAAACTTC